ATGTTATTTCATTCTTGCAGTGCCCTCCTTAAGCTGCAAAACAGGAAGAGAAAGCAAAAGTAGGCCTTGCACCCAAATGTTTACTGTTTATTCTTCTTTCTTTGGGATAGAGGAGAAAAATCCATCCTCAACAGAAAAAGAATGTTATGGCTTTACACAGTTAACACCTTTGGGGAAGGAGAATTAATTAGGAAAGAGTTGGAGCCCTCTGCCTGACAGATTCGTGACCCATGAAGCTAATCAGTTCTGTAGCCTGTCACTGCCTTTTGCCTTGGACTGGCCAGTCTCATGAGCTCAGCACTGACTCTCATGCTGGGGAAGGAGATATTTGCAACATGTCACATTTTCACTGTTTTGCCAGCGTCGAACAAAAAGTAATGATAGTTTATTTCTGCACCTGGAAAGTTACTATTGCACCTAGCCCTATTTGTAAAAGCTCAGCAGATTTCTGGAGAAATAAAGGAGGCATTGAACTAGCCTTTAGATTTACAGATTTAGCTGCTGTAAATTGTCCGTGGTTACTAAATCAGAGCAGCATTAAGGTACTAAAAGGTAACCTTGTACGTGAGAGTAATCTGAGCCTTTGGTTTAACTGGATTCAAAATACACATTGAGCTGATGTTCAAAAGTAGTATTTGCCAGCACTAAGGAACAAGAGATCCATTATATTTTAATATTAATATTTGTCTTTTCATTGGTCGTGTATCTGTGGGCGCCCCGTTCCCCCTCTGTGGCTTTAAAACATGAATGCAAACCATCCTGCAGCTCTCAGGGTATGGAGCAGTTTGAGGCTTTTTTTATGCCAGAACTGCAGAGGAGATTTCTGCATGCCCAATCAAGTTTGTGAAGGAGAGAAACCCACAATCATTTCCATCCCAGTGGTTCATTGGAAAAACATGTCTTGTATTAAATACTTTAAAGATTCATGAAGCAGCTTTAATTTTGTTTGCATTTCTTCCTGAAGGGTAAAGCTGTCAGAAATCTCTAAATGTATTGCCTAATCCATTTCTAAACTCAGTACATTAAGATCTGCAAGCAGAACTCATTTTTGGTGTTAGCAAGTATACAGAGACGAGAGAAAGCCAGAAAAAGAGAGTAGGAATTCCTTGCCTTGGAAATCCACTGAACTACCAGCACAGCAGTAGTGTCAGCTGCTCAAAAAAATAGTGCAACTCAATTGGACTGTAAGAGCAGCATAAAGAGAGGGCACGTATTTCTGCTGGATCAGATACAAATAGAGAAAATACAGCAGCCGGGCAATGGAGGCTCAGACAAAAGAAAATATCTTTCTCTTTTCTGCCTACAGGCTCACAGGCTACCATGAGCAGGCTACTGTTCAGCTGAACAGCTTTTGTTTTCTCATTGTCTCTGTTTCTAATCTGTGACCTTTTTTGTGTTAGTACATGATTTATGTCCAAGGCTCCATTTCCAAGCTGAAGATCCTTTCCTCTTTTCTTGTGCCTGCACAGACAGTGCTCACATTTGGGCTCGGGGGGCTGGCTTGGAAATGTTCATTTAAGGAACTGGTTCAATGCAAGGGAAGGAATGAGTGAAAACCATCTCCAGGGTAGAGAGAAATGATCTGACATCAAGCTCTCTATCATGTGCAAAGGAAATACCTCTGGGTTTCCAGCCAGGCTCTGCAGTAGCCAATGCAGAGCAAGAACTCTCAAAGCCTCTTCCCAAGACAACAGCAGCATGCCTTAGGTCTGATGCTTAGCGTGTTGTATGAAAGATGCCTGAAGGGCTGTTTCACTTATCAGATCTAATCCATCCTCAGCTGATCCGTGGAAGTGATTAGCCATGGCATCATCAGCCTTTGTTTGGAACCACCGGTCCTAGATGCATCCAGTGGTGTGTCTCTCTGCAGTGTGCTCATCTGCCCTGGAGAGACAGTACTCCTTGTGTGAGCTCACATCCTTTGCTGATGTGCACTGAGACGGCTTACAACCGCAATTCAGCATCATGAGAACATTGAACATGATCCATGCCTGGCCAGCTTAGACCTTTGCTAACTGATATGTAGGTCAAACTTATGCTGTCTGTCTCTCCCAGATCGGTTAGTGCTGGTTAATTTGTTTTCAATACTGTAATTGTCCTCCTTCATCCGATAGCCACAGTTCCTAATGTGATCAGACCAAGTATAGAGAAACAGAGGGCATGGCAGCACCCTGCTCCTTTCCTGGACAAGAAATGGGCAATTTCTTCAGTTCTGATGCTTTCCCTCCATCTCTGGGCTGCTACTCCAACCACTTTTTGGAAGGATGTCCTTTGCTGTTATAAGTAAGTGGGCTGGTTATGGCCTTATCTTTTTCCAGGGACGTCTCTGCCATGCTCTGGGGCCAAAATCAAGGGCTGCACCAAGGAGGACTTCAGTATCTTCCTGACACTGACAAAGGATTCGGTTCTCCATGTAATGCTCTTGGTCTGTTGTTGGTCTGCGAGGCTGTCAAGGGGCTGTAAGGATACAGTGGGCATAGCTGTGCTTTGATGGTGGAGCATCTTTGATTGCGACTTGCTAATGTCTTGGCTCAGAGTGTCAATTGCTGGTTAGAGTTTCTTGAAATGAAGGAAGTATTAACTGTAAATTGCTGCAGCTTCTATCTAATTACAGAATACATTGGGAAGGGCTTGGGCAGCAATCCAACAAAGCACTTAGGCACCCTCTGATTTTTAAGAAAAGGTCCCTGGTCTGGGATTGTTGGTGCTCTCAGACATCATGAGCAGTGTTTGCTAGTAGACCACTGCCTTCTCCTGACTACCTCAGCACATCCATCTCATTTTCTGAAGTGACTTAAGGAGCTGGGAGTTCAAGGTTGACTGGAAATCTTTAGGAAATGAACTCCTAAATCACTGCTGTAGTTTGAGAAGTTTGCTCAGGCAGACAGCTTCTTTTGCAGCTCTTCATCTTGTAATAAGTAAAATGATAGCAGCATTTAAACCACCGTTGAGTTCTGAGGTTTGCCTTGGCCCATCTAGATGTTCCTGCTGTAGCTGTCTTTGAAATATTCAAATGTGTAATGGTTGGAGCATTTTCCAAATAGAAACATAATGGAGTTTTTGGTTATGTCCTGCTAACAGAAAAAAGGGAGAACAGATGGAAGGGAGACAGCAGTGAGAAATGATAGAAATTATTTAGCCTTGGAGGGATAAATTCAAAACAGCCCTTTATAAAAGCATCCAGTGTGTCTGGGTGTTCCACACCAGGTATTCCAGTATACTTACTAGAACAAGAAGTACTTCTTACCCCAGAAAGGCTCAGCCAAATTTCTTGATCAGAAGTCAAATGAAGCCCAGCATAAATCACTGAGGCCTTGTGCTGTTCTCCCATGTGGCTCCAATTTTTCCTAGACAAAATACTTTGGTCCATCTACCCATGCCTCTCTGCCCCTGGTACTGTGTTCATTTTGCCTTGAATTGCTTGTCTCTCTCTCCACTACAAGTGCTGCTTTGGCAGCCCCCGTTCTCACTTGCACTTTCTCTTCTCCTTGCCCTCTGCAGCTCTCAACACAATTCCTTCGTTTTCCCTCTTCCCTTTTGGCTCTGGGTTCCCATGCAGGACTGCCCTCTGCCTCACTCCACTGGCAGCACACCCAGCCCTTGGGTACCAGCCTGATTTACTGGGATGCAATTTGCTGTGTCCTGCTGATATAAAGTGAGGCTCTGAAGCAAATTGCTGTCAGATCAAAGCTGTCCCTCGTCAGGGGAAATCTTGCAAGATCCCTGCTTTTAGCTGATGGCTCTTTCGTGTCTCTGAAGTATTCGTAATGGACTTCTTTGGTACGTTGGTGTGGTCAAGAGGAAAATCATGCTCAAGGAGAAATTCCAAAAGGAGGCTGCGTCAGAGTGTTCACACCTCCTGTAAATCTTTGTCCTTCTTCCAGGTGCATGTTTAGATGGTGTGAGAATGCAGCTTAGCCTGAAGCTCTACACAGAGGTCCTCTCAATGGTACAGGCCTTCAAGCGAGCTGTCAGTTAGCAGCTGTGGTAGCCATGGAATCAAAGGCAAGTCATCAGCTCTCTGTGCAAATAGTGCAGGAATGGGTAGGGATTATAAATAATTGCACTTTACTAGAATTCATGACAGATTTCCAAAGGTGATCCAGCAGTCAAGTGGCTGCCGCTCTCTCCACCCCCGTGACTGCAGGTAGTGGATAGAAAGAGTCATCATTATGCCAAAGTAATAAGCAAGAGGTCAGAAAGTTTGATAAGAGCAGGAAAAGTCATTTCCTGTGATGCAATTAGCAGTATTTTAGAGAGCAGGTTCAGAAATCACTATGGTAATTCAGAATGGCTTTTGACTGTGAGAACATGTAGGCAATTTTTTATAGTTGGCCTCTGTGCTAGAGGGAGAGAATTCTCCTAAAACGTGGCAGTATGGTGTTGCAGGGTACATGGACTGCTATCTATGATAACATGCATAAGTGGGGATAGCTGCATACTGAGGTGGAGCAAATTCATTTTGCAAATACTTCAGTGGGAGCTTGCGTGTTCAACAAACAGCGTGCATTGGTTCCTGCTGCACAAGCTGCAGAATCAGAAAGTGAAGCAAGTGCTCTGTTTGGGCACGGTTCACTTTAGAAGGTCCTAGTTTTAAAAGTATGAATTCTAGTTACAGATTAACAGCAGGCTTTCTCATGGGTGCCCTTGGAGCACAAGCAAGCTCTGGGGTTGTGGGCTTTCTCCAGGATATTTATGAGCAAAACCTCTGATACTCTTTTGTTTTTCAAGAGATGTTTTTCACACCCCAAAGACTGAGATCCATTAAAAAAGTATGACATACAGATAAGCTTTGCTTTTCACCTGGTTGATAAGAAGTTAGCTGCTCCTAGCCATGTTGCTTCTTTTCAGTTTTTACCCCATCTTCATTTGATGTCAGAAGTAAGGAAGCCTGTAAACCCCTATTTGCTGGAGAGCAATGAAAGATGAGAGGACATTTTGCGGTGTATTTCACCTCCCATTGGCTGCTTGGGTTTTAATTGTTCTTTTCTTCTTTTCAGGTGCAAGCAGATGACCTACACAGATGACCTGCCCCAGATCTCTGTGGTCTTTATATTTGTTAATGAGGCACTGTCTGTCATCCTGCGCTCCGTGCACAGTGTTGTGAATCACACCCCCTCACATCTGCTCAAGGAGATCATTCTGGTGGATGACAACAGTGACAATGGTGAATGCACATAAGCTTTCCTCTCAGTTCTTTATCTCGTGTCATTTGTGAGCATGAAATACAAATCAAAAAGAGTTTTGTCACTTCTACATGATACATTATTATTATTTTTAGCTTTGGATGAAGCAGCGTTGAGATGGCGTGTATTTAAACAGCTCAAGGAGCTGAACAGCCACTGATGAATGCTCACAACCACTGATTAATGGCTAATAAGGCAGACCGTACGTTGGTGTGAGTTAACATACCTCCCTGAAGTCAGAATTTCCAAGAGTTTGTGTTTGATGAGGAGATGATTCACTGAGCCACTTGCACAAAGCTGTCAGTAAATATTAACTATTTATATAGGAAATAAATACTCTGTGAATAAGCCCTCTTGACTTTGTTGGAATCCTCACAGAATTAATGACATTTGTACAAGTAATCTCTATACAGAGACAAAACTTTTGTCCAAATTTGGACAGCCAGAGCAATATCAATATCAGTAGACCAAAAATTGAAGTTCTGTTTCCAGAGGAATGTGAAATTACAGGTTCTCTTTGAAAATGGTTTATTTTACATGGAAGCACACTTTGCTGCTTCACAATTTACACATGAATTGACACAAGTTATGAAATCTGATTTCTTTCTTTTCATTTTGGTAGGAAAAAAATTAGACTTTGCAAATGCAATGCAAATGCAAAATGACTGTTGGGTCATGTAATTCCTTAATGTAAAAATAGCACTTCAGTTAGAGCCATCAAAACTCAGACTCTTGGTGAGCACGTAGGGTGCTACTGATCAATATATTTTATAGGATGGTTGGAATTGCCTTTAGGATACAGATAACTAGCAATATTGTTGTGCTTTAAATTGTTATAATTGAATCTTCTAAAAGTGTTGCAGCTTCTAAATCCTATTTATTTTTTTTTAAGGCTCAAGTTGGGCATTTCTGCTGCTACTCAAGAACTTTAAATCTTTCAGTTTTTAGATGCTGTTCTTCTTCAAGATGCCCAGACAGAAAGGATGCTGAAAAGAACAAATCACTAAAACAAAAATAAGCCCCAGAATAGGGAGTTTTAAGAAACCTTTTGTCCAATTCTGCTTTCAGTTACTGCGCTGTAACCTATGGAGTAATTACGTGAGATTACAAAGTGTTTCAGTCAGCATAATGCAGAAGAGAATTGGATTCATTGTTTCTCAGTGAACTCTTATATGGCTTTTCTCTGTCATTCTTCTAGATAACTGGAGATTTATCAGGTCTTTTATTTGGATGGTAATGATTCTACTGTGTAACATAGATCAGAAGAATGAGGCTCCTGATATCATGGAAGCTTCCTAAGTTTTCCTAATAAATATATTTGAGTAAAAGCTTCATTATGAGTAAGCTGTAGCGTAAATGAATTACCAAGCTGGATTGATTTTTAAAAGTACAGTGACCATTTTAGTAATTTGCCTGTTTGTAAGCCTACTGAAATGAAGGAGTGAACAAGTTCAGCTCTATGTGGTTGAAGCCTGAAAATGAAAAAAAGAAAAGCCTATTTTAAATCTTCAAGATCCATTTAGCTTAACAGAGAAGAAGCCTGGTATCACATAATATTAGTCGTATCTAAGGGAGAACTTAGAGTGAAGGGAAATTAATTCTGATCTGAATTAGATCTTGACCCAAAATCCATTGAGGTTATTTTTCTAATTCAATAAGGAAAAGTGTAAATCAGGTGCCCCAAAAACACCAATAACTCCCGTGTTACTCTGCTCCAAGTTCAGAATTATTCCATCAGGGGCCACTTGCAACCTAATGCAAATCATCAGAGAATTGAAACTGTAATTATTTTAAGATATTTAGACAAACAAGCTCTTCAAAACAATGCACAGATCCTTCGTGCCATATTCTGTCTTTGCAAGGCTGACAGCATATGCTCTGATGTGCAGTGCTTTTTTCTGAGCTGGTATCTCAGGAATTGCTCTGTCCCGTGGCTGTGGTTCTTCCTTTGTATCTGTGAAAGTGACCAAGGATCTGTTGCAGAATAAATCAAAGTAAAGCACAGCATTGCAAGACTGTTGCAGTGATTTCATTCTGAATGTTTGTGGGTTCTTCTTATTATTTTTTTTTTTTCCCCCTGTAGTTGAGCTCAAATTTAACCTGGACCAGTATGTCAATAAAAGATACCCAGGTCTGGTGAAAATAGTGCGCAATAACAAACGAGAGGGACTGATTCGAGCCAGAATCCAAGGCTGGAAAGCTGCAACCTCTCCTGTTGTTGGGTTTTTTGATGCTCACGTGGAATTCAACATTGGCTGGTAAGTCCTTGGCTGTTTCCACAGGGAGTGGGGAATACCGTGCTCTTACAGTTTGCCCTGTGTCTCACAGGCTGTGAAAGAGATTCACTCAACAGGGCAGCTGAAGAACTGTATGATGACACAACTATCAGCTTGTGTTTTCACATTAGCAATTATATTTGAATAATATCTGTGATTACTGCAATATTGTCAACAGTCTTCTGCAGTGGTTGCAAGATTCATAGGAAAAGCATTTGTCCCTGCTCTACTACAGCTTAGCAGAGAGAGAAGTAATTTAAACTGAAATGAATGCAAAGCCTCTGAAGCAGGCAGACGTGGACATTCCATTAGGGAGGCTCTCTGCTCATGGCAGATGCATGTTTTCAACTACTTTTATTTAATCTGCTTGACCTTTTCTTTCTTTCCTTCTTACAAACTTGAATATAAATCTGACTTGCTTGTAAATTTTCTTACATTTACATTTGGAAGGAAATATTTCCTGTATTTTTAATGGGACTTGAAATCAGTGTGTCTTTGCTCATCCTCTCCGTTTTGGAAAGGAAGGGTGTTAGCTGTGGTTAGCACCAGTACGATCTTAATGGACCAGATCTTCACAGCACCACTTAGCGGCCAATATTTGGCACTGTTAGAACCTGAACTTTCAGTCAGCTGAAAAAGAGCTGGTGGGACCTTCAGTGTGTAAAATGTGTATTTTCCAAAGAGAGTCTGGTATTTCATAATGATGATGGAAGGTTATGGTGGAGCTGATTATACTCTGCAGTTCTGAGAGAGAGATCCCCAAATTAAAACTAAAATTAGCTGTACTTGCAACCAGAGAGCAACTTAATTGCAAAGGAGTGGAGCGTTTATTTTTGTATGCTCATGAATGGAAGATGCAATAAAGTGCACCTGGTTTCTATTCACCCTGTTTTTTGCCCCATCAGAGACTTTAATAACAGAGTTATGTTTTAGAAGCTTAAGATGTTAATTTGTTTATTTACTTTTAGGGCAGGTGGATCTTTGAAAAAGTTTATGTAAGGTAATATCAGCTACTGGGCAGAACTGGAGGCTGCAGCCTGGTGCTGGGGAGAGCAAGCTCCTGGTGCTTAGTCAGTCCTGAGCTGCAGGTTCTGAGACTTGCAGGGAATTTTGTTACCTATTTTGTAAAGGACATTGGTATCTTATTGATGTATTCTACCTAGAGAAACTAGGCAGTGGTGTCAGGAAGCACAAAAAGGTTTTGTGGCTGCATCTGGCTGTGTTCGTTGATTTTTTTTTAATGCTTGCTTTGCATTAATGTCAGAAGGAGTTGAAATCAGCGCAGCAAGTTCGTGGACTACTCAGTAAATGAGTGTGTGTATATCCAAGATAAAAAGTGTTTGTGTATACCTCATTCTCCCTGGTGTACTCTCCTTTCAACAAGTCTCAATAATACTGTTGAGCCAGTCTGTGCAGCTGCTTTGAGACCACTTGGCTTCTGGAGTAGCTGCAGAAGATGGATGAGAATAGCAAATGCATACAGAAATGTAATATATCCGCTTGTTTGAGTTGCACATGGAGGCTCAGTGTTGTTTCTTTCTGGTATTTCCTCTGTTCTCTGGTGCTGCTGACAGCCATCTCAATCCTCATCCTGTCTGTCTCCCCATAGTTTAAGTTCTGCCCATCATGCATTGTGTGTTTGCCTGTCATTCCAGTTTTCATCTCATCTCCTTTTACTAGGAGGGACTGGAAGGTTTCCTATGTGGATTGCTTTATTTTTTCCCACCAGGTTACCAGTACCCCCACTCAAGATCTCTACCAACTTGGTAGTCAGGAGGGAATGGCTTGTTAAAGCACTGGTGTCCCATTCTCCTGCTAAGTCTTACCCTGTGTGAATATTTTCCCCTTTTTACTGAGTGTATTCATGTGTTCAGTGGCCAAACGGATTATTCCCACTCAGAACTGCCTATGGATTATTTGTGAGGCAATTAAAAACCAGCCAATTCCTTTACCACAGAAAAGAGCATTAACTTTCTGTTTGGTTTGTGTTTCATCTAACAGTCAGTTACCTGCAGTGTAATTTTAGCCTTCCATTCTGTGGCTGCTTTACCTGCCTAATCAGCTGGCAGATAAATTCAAAGGGAATCAGAAAAGGACTTCATCAGTTTCTCATGAAATATGCAGAACTCTGGCAATAAAAAAACCTACATCTTTTCTTCAAGCAATAGTCATCCCATTGTGGGTGAGCTCTTGCCTTGGATCACGCAATAGCACTCAAAGGCTGCTCTCACAGCATAACTCTCTAGGGACATTTCTTCTAAACTGAAATACAATATGGTAAGATATTTAAAAAATACTCCACAACCTGGCAGGTCAAATTAACTGTTGAATTATTTATCTTACTGTGCTTAATTGCCGCTTTTCTGCTTCTCAGGTGTTAAAATGTGTTAGCACAGAGCAAAGAGTTTCTACTGACCCGTTCCCCTTAAGGCTTTTGGCAGTGAGAGCAAATGCTGCTGCTGTGACAGCAGGAGTGGAGAGGAATGGAAGCATGGGAGGAGGCCAGTGTGTAACAGTGTACTGGAAAGGCAGACACTACAGTTTTCACAAAAACCAGCTCCCAGGAAAGTTGCACATTCATGCCTGAAGAGATATTTAAGCTTGTACTGTTTGATTTTCCCTTCATTCCACTGCAGATTTGAGCACTCCTGCTCTGACTTTTGTGTCCACCTGCTGTGCATGAAGCGCCACACAAGTAACATTGAGCACAGACAATTGCATCCTGGCTGCTAATTATACTGCAGCAGACGTAGAACATTATACAGACTCCTGTCTTTGAGAGATGGGAAGGAATGACAAGGAGAAAAGAACTTCACTACGTTATATGTGGGAGCAGGAAAGAAGAGAAAGAAGAAATGGGGTGTTAATTCTGTCGATGAGAAAAGGGGCACGTTGAGTAAAGGAGGGCAGAAGTCAGTAAGAGAAAGGCAGAGACCACAATATATTAGCAGCCATAAAAAGGATGCTAGGAGCCGTAAAAGAAGACATAATGATAGAGTATTATACTTGCTTTCTAGCTTAGGACTTGATTTTGCACGTATCACAGAAGTAGTATTGGAGGATTGAATGGAGATATGAAGTGCTGTAGTAATTAAAATTTTGTCAGACAAAAGGAAGCAGAGGAGTAAGAGCATTTCATCAAAAAATTTCAATATACCAGAGAGAGATAGAGACAGCCCAACGTGAGAAGGAAGACCTGAAATACAAGCTCGGTATCCATCTGTCTGTGCTACACACAGCCCATCAATATAGATTATCCCTGAAGTTGTCAGTGTTTTAAAAAGATAGAAAATGGGAATTTTAAGAAACTAAGAGCTGAAGATCAAGATGCCAGGTCTGCAGATAGCCCCTTGCAGATACTATGTCATGCTTTAATATGTACTGCAATTGGCTACAGCCTTAAGCAGTGGATTCTTGAGAAACTATATAATGAAAAAGGAAGTTGCTTTCCTCCTAATCTTCTGTTTTGGCTTTGGTTATCCCAACTGCTTCATGGTTACACGTCTGTAGGACAAAGACATAATAACTTCGCTCCTTATGGAAGTTCCCTTCCCTATGCTTTCATGTGGTACATTGGAAGCCAAACTCGACCAGCAGGTAAGCACCCTGTCCTGCCTGTTCTAACTGAGCTCATGTGGTTCTTTGGGGGCCTGCCAGAGTCTGGGTGGCTTTTTCTTCTAGTGAGAGAAGCACTGAAGCCAAGGGTGAAATAGGTTGTAGTCCTCCTATGCAGTCCCTCCCTTAGGATTCACACCTAATTATTGCTGATCAGGCCATGCTTCATTGCAGCATCTGTGATAACAAGCTGAGTTTGACTTGGGAAGGAAGTTCTATTTATGCAAAAGCAAAGGAAAGGATGTGTGTTTATTGAAGGAGTTCTTCCTCATCCGAAGGTGAGGTTCGGTTTGGTAATCAATTTATTTCAGATAGCAAAAGCAAACTAATGCTATCTGAGTAAAGAGGGCAGCGTGCAGCAAACGTCATGTGGGCCTTCTGCATTCTTGGGGCAGCGCCAGTTTGCATACAGAGAACACATAAGAAAGTCAACTTCAACTATGCATCTACCTAAACAACCTGGAATGCTCACTGAAGCATCTTCATTGCCTTTCAGTGGTGCTGAGAAGAGCTGTTCAGGTTCGGCAGCCAAACAGCTCATCTTTACTCTCCAGCAGGCGCTGAGCTGTGCTGCCTCTGCTCTGCTGTGGGCTGCAGGTCTGCACCTCCAGGGCACACAGGGGTGCTGATAGAGATGTCAGGGAGAACAGATGAGTAATTTCCCCTCCTCTTTGAGATCGAGGAGGGGAGTATGATATATAGATGTATATATATATATAATCATTACGATGTATATTCATTTTTTTTTTAGTTCTCTGAACACTTATTTACTGAAAGGAATTCTGCATGAAATATTCTTCATATGGCCTCAGTGGAGAATTATGTATGTCTTTAAATCTGCTTGTCTGCATCTGATAAATGTATATTGTCAGTAAAATCTGAGGTGGCGTATAAAATCACATGCAGAATAAGCTTTCGGCTTACACAGCTTTCTTTCTTATATTTCTCTTTTAAGTTTTTAGTTAAAATGGTAACTGACAGTGGTACAGCCAGAGTAGAATAAAGTGTTAAACCCACTGAGCCACAAAAATTTAACAGATGAGACCATTTTGGCTTTCTTTTGATGTCATACAAGAACTCAAGGAAGATTCCTTGCAGGGAGAAAAGAGAATCCCCCCGGAAAGGGGGAAAAAATTGTTTTTTAATGTTCTTTTTTATTTTATTGCAGTAAAAATTAGAATGGTTATAATGGAGAGTAAAAAAAAAAGGTGTGTTTATCTCAGAACAACCCAGAGACCAAGATATTCAAACATCTACTTAGGACAGGGGCAGAATTTAGGGGGAAACCTCCCCAGTGCAATTCCTGCTCTTTATGAAAGTGTTTGGTTTTGGTGGTTTTGGACAAATACATAAAAAGTGCCATTTAGGGGGAGGAAAAAAAAAAAAAAGAAGGGAAAATGATTTCCTGTGGAATGTCTATTAGAATTGTTGTATTTAAAGAACTGGAAGAGGCTGTGGGTCTGCTCCCTGGTAGTGCAGGTTGGCAAAGCTTCTTGGAAGTCATGAAGTCCCATGAGCAGAAGATTTGGGTAGCAGCAGCAGATCTGCCTTGTGGCATGCTTGTGGTTTCTTCTCTTAGACCACGTACAATTCTTCCTATGTTCATTTTAAAAAGTCTGCTTGAAGTCAGTAGGTGGCTTTACATATTTGAAGGGTGAATTACATACTCATGTGTGCTGAGGAGCTCATTACTAACTTGCTTTTACCCATTTCTTTTATTTGGAAGAAGCCGTTCTTTTAAGCATTGTAAAAAATCAGACTTCCCCATTGGCATGAACTCTGGCAATCTGATAAGGATGCAAGATAGCATACAATTTTTGTTTGCCCTGATGTCTCTTGGGGTTTCTGCTGCTCTGCTTCGGCCCAGAGTTAAAGAGAGAATGAATATATTTTCAGAGAAAGACTTACAACGGGATTAGGGAAGTGAGTATGATCACAGTATGACCCCAGCCTTTACTCTCAATCTTCTCACAGACTCATTTTAAACTCAGTTAAATTCTGCCTCCCAGATCTTTTTCTAACTCTAATATTTATCTCAGGAGCATTTACACAGTACCATCATTGCTGGCGCTCCCATAGCGGCCAACATGGGTGCTCAGCACCTTGAAAATTCCATACTTTGACCTCCACTTTTCTCACTGGTAGGTGAAAACGTGACATGTGTGTGCTATAGTTAGAGAAATGCTAAACAGTCACTGTCGAATCAACACATCCCTGTTTGTGATCGTGTTCCTGATCAGATTCTTGCCACAAACCCTCCAGGACAGTTTCTGCAAGGAGCCCCTTAACAGAACACGTGGATGCTCCTTCCAGCATGTCACTGTGCTTGTGGGAAGCCCACCAAGATTAGGGTAAAGCCCTGTGCTCTCTGGAGTTTCAGTCATGTACTGTTAGCCACAGGACTGAATCCTGGGAATGAGACATTTGCAGTGTGTTACTGCATTTCAGGAACTGCTTCGGGGAAATAAAACCCAAGTGAAAATAGCCATTAGCTTAGCAGAGTCTGTAAGAGAGTTAAATTTACTGTCCTCTCTCTTCTGACTTATCCATTCACTAGCCATATATTCAGAGTGGGAGGACACAACTGACAAATATATTCTTTTAGTAGAGATACAAGGGAGGAGCTTCTTTGTCACTCAAATTCTAGCCCAAACTGTCTGCCTGTTTTTCATGAGTGGTGGAAGGAAAAAAAGCCACAAAGCTGTATGAGGCGAAGTACTACCTAGAAAGTTTAATCTTGTGATGATATTTAGCTTACTGAAATCTATCATGTCTGTGAATTTGCCTGGAAGAATTTTTTCTCTTGCTCTAGTAAATAACTTGTTAATCTTGTTATTATTATAACTTGCATCTGCTACCCTGTTCCTATACCTTGATACAAGCTAGGAACCTTGTGTTTTTTTCCATCTGTGAAAAATGAGGATGAATCTCAAAATTCACATCTGGCTTAACTAATCAGGCAGAGCTGAAGCCTCACTGCCAGCAGTGGCCATGTGGAAAGGAAATATTCCAACCCCATACTGCAGCTCATCAGCACAGCATGGTGAGCCCACTTGCACTGCAGCTACCTCTTCCACTCAGTCCTTTTTCTTCTGAAGCTGCCAGGAGCACCTGCCATCTCTACATTGCAGTGGAGACAATAAAGCATGATGAAAGAAAATAAATAAATGAACTTTGCAGCCTGTAAAGAGGATGAGTAAATCCACATTTAATGTAGCAGTTTAAAATAAGGAAAAAAAAATTTCTAGGCAAGATTTAATCATAATCCTTTTGAAAACCTTAAGCAGTTAGACAAAGCCAGAATTACCAGCAAGGTTGACAAAGGATTTGATGACAGTGCAGCTCAGCCTACAGACACAAAGCTATCATGCAAGTCTGCTGAGTACAGCAGAGCTGTTCCAGGGCTGGACTTCTGTGGCAGTGAGCAGCGACTAAGAGGCTTGTGTTTCATGAATTACCTAAGATAAGCAATGTAAACACAATCTATTACCCCTTCCTGTTGAAGCTTGCAGTAGTACTTCATTAGAAACCCTGGCCATTGCCTAGAGATCATGGCAGATAGAAAATCAGCACAAGCAGTGTTGGTGGCACAGAATGCATTGACGAAAGCTGGGATTTGAATGTTCCTGAAGGACCATTTGAGATGCTCTAAGGCTTGGTGTTTAAATACCCCTGACTATTTCTGCCATCCCTGACTGGGCAAGACAAGCTAAAAAATCTCACAGGTGTGCAATGTTAGCTGAGAAGTCACTCCGTTTTGAGTTTTGCCAAGTAACAGAGAACTCTGAACTGGATTTTCCCATCCCATCTATGACTGCTCTCTGGAGGGTGTAATCCCTCTACCCTGTGATATCTCTTCCACACTAAATCTGCTAAAGCAGTGTCCAAGAGCTTCAGAAGTGGGCCCAGGGCAATGCCCAGAGGCTGCTGCAATGTTGGTCAGTTTGCAGGAGAGCCAGTCAGTTTTGTAACAAGGCTCCTGCCCCAAATGCTCTCCAGTGGCCTGCTCCAACTTTTTTTCCCCACAACAAAGAGGAGGCTACCTCTGCCAGTTTATCAGTGGCCTGTCACTGATGATGATATTTGATATATTGAAAGCCTTTATTCCAGAGGCTAGAAAGGAGTGAGAGAGCCTCCTGTTGACATTATGAGTGAGGGTTTCCACAGCCATGCATGGTGGCACACAGTCAGCGATGGGAGAAGTGTGTCTGGTTGATGCCTGCCTCTAGGAAATGTCTTCCTCTTATGGAAAGAACAAGCTAGATTCATCTTTTTTTTGTATTCTTTCCTTCTTTATTAGAGTTACAAGAGTTTCTCTGGTGGACACACACTGGGTTTTAAAGCAGTTAATCTCATAACTATAATCTCTTATTAATAGTCAAAGCTGCTTAGCCTGATTTGGCAGGTCATATTGGCTCTGTATGGGGGTGCATGTGTGTGGCCTCAGGACTTTCCAGATGGGCGTAATGAATAATGCACTGCACCCCTGGGGTGGGGTAAAACAAGAGTGTGATGTCGCATAAGCAGTCAGTGCACACAAAAGAGGAATATTTTGGCCATACCTGAGTACAGAGGAAATGCTACCTTCTTACTGATGGGATCAGAAAATTTTGATAGTTCAGACTGAGGCAATGCAGAAGGGAAATGGAGGTTGAGTTAATTTCATAACTTGTCCCTTTCATTTAGCACACACAAGAAAGTACATGGTAACAAATAAAATAGAAGATAACAGAACATAAAACAACCAACTTGAAAGCACGAAGGAATGATTGCCTTTTAAGCTACAAAAAAGGGAAAAGATCAGTGCTCAGCTCCTACTGCCTCTGTGAATCCCAGCAAACCCCCTTTCCCTCAGAGAAGGTACACGTGAGAGCTCTGCAAAATCTTCAAAGTTTGTTTCAAGGGGAAACAGTTACAAAAGAATGAAGTGATGGCTGTTTCTAACACTGCTTTGAGAAGTGATTTCCACCCTTATATTTGTCTGTTACCTTTAGGATCAGTTCCTCTCAAACTTCTTAGCAATTTCAGACTACCTTGGCCAGAAGCGAGTGGTTCCTGAAAGACTTTGGGATACAGCTTCTGTTGAAAGCACACCGATGTTTTAAAGCCTTTTGAAATGATGGCACATTTCTTGCAGGTTGCTGCTTTGCACCATCTGGCTATTGAAACCTTCTCATCATCAGAGAGGTTTTAGAAGACACAGTGCAGCCTTGTTTCTCATTCAAACAAGGTCCGATGGAGTCAGTCCTTCAAAAACAAGATTTAAATCTTTGAGTAACCCTCAGATTCATTCTCTGTTCTGCATTTTGTTCTTCATACCTCATCAGCAGGAGGCAATCTGGTGCTGTAGACATTAGGGGACTGTTAATACTTTACTCTGGTCATGGTGACTCTCAACACTTGCCCATTACAAATTGAAATGACATTCCCAAAGCATAAGAATAAGTCTTTGGTAAATCTTGTGTTATTAAACACAAAGTGGTACAATTCCATAGGGGCAATGATTTGTGTGAGTCTGCTATGTGAGTATTGCCGTGCCAAACCTCAGCCCCTTTGCTCTAAGATGGTGACATGCATTTGATCTTGCCATGCTGTGTTACGGTCTGCCATCTCGCTCTCAGGATTAGAGAAGGTTGTTTTATCAGACTGCAAAGAGGGGCCCGGGATAACTGGATGGTTGCAAAATGTTTTGCTGTTTTCACTGTTCTCAGGGTGGAACCTGCACTTACCCGTATCAAAGAAGACAGAAAGCGGATCATCTTGCCAGCAATTGACAACATCAAGTACAACACTTTTGAAGTGCAGCAATACGCCAATGCAGCCCATGGCTACAACTGGGGCCTCTGGTGCATGTACATCATCCCTCCACAGGACTGGCTCGATAAAGGGGACGAGTCAGCACCCATCAGGTGAACCTACATGCTGTCACTTTGTGCTACAACATCTCTATCTGCCAAGGGGCAATTGAAGTTAAGCAAGGCTGCAGACTTTGTGCCGGGGTAGTTTAATGAAACTGAGGAACATGGATGGGTCTGCAAAGCTGTGAATGCATGTGTGACATTTCAGAGCTGCACCACAAAGTGCTGGCTCTAGTTGTGAAAATGTGATTCAAGTTCACTTTGTGGCCCTTGCTAGGATAGAAAGATCTTTTTCACTTGTGTTTTATTTTCCAAATGGACCCTGTCATGAGTAGTGAGTCAGATAAACATTGTATGTATGAAAAATGAAGGTATTTTGTATGTGATTGCAAGGAGGCTGTTGTCACTTTGGGTCTGTAGGCAGCATTCTTGGACATCAGCCCAAACCAGAGCTTCCTGGCAGCACTAGTAGGAGATGTGTTAACCTCCTGGTCTCATTGGAGAGTTGCTCTTTTTTTGGAGAACTTTGTGCATGTTATGGATTTTCCCACTGGATGAATTTTAAAAGGAAACCAGACCATATAAGCAGAGCATCACTTTATTTTCTTTGTAAGGTAACATTTTTCCTTACAGAAATGAAATTTTCTAAGGAAATAGTGATTCAGGAATTGTCATAGTCAATTTGAGAGTTGTTAAAGTTACAGTGAGAAAATGAGAACTGAGGAGAATGAGTCTTTCTTTCCTCTTCTTTTGAAAATTCACATCCAAACTTTCTTCTCTGGTGCAGATCGTTGTCTCATTGCTCCTCTGAAAGGTGCCGTGCTGAGTGAAGGGTACTTTTTTAGCAACTGCTGAAATAAATGAAATGATAAAAAAGATTTTACTCTAGGGTTCTCTGCCTTGTTTTTGAACTTTCCTAGGAAGGATACAAACTACCTTCTTAGAGGCATCTTCATCCTGATGTTTATCAGCTCCACCCTAAAGTGAGCTAAAACTCTCTCGTATGGTGTCAGTGCAGGCTTTGGCAGAAAAGATGTTGTACGTCCCTTCAGCATAGAGCCTGAGTTGTCAGATTCTGAGATGCCTGTTCCCAGTCCATCCAAGCAACCTCAAACAGCACAGCCAACTGGAAAGACCCTTGCTGGTCTTTTAGAAGTGTGAGGACACAAGGTGGGCTGTTCACATTTCTAAATGATTGGTTGGGTGGGACCATCACACAGGGTCTCACCCTCATACAACGAATATTTAAATCTGTATTTGAGCAAGTGTTGCAAGTTGCTGTTAGGTTCATTCTCCTGCCCTGCGACTGCAAAACAGGTACACAGCAACACTGACCTTCCTTATCACAGCACAGCACAGTCCTTCAGCTCTGACCCTTCGCTCAGCTTGAAACCTCAATAAGCAGGAAAGTAATTACTTAGAAAATCACTGTTCTTGGATAACGTGCCCTGTCCTCCCATCATTGTTTTAAAAGCGCAGGCATTGTCTATCTATTTCACTCAGCTCTGAGAAATAGATATTGAAGAAGGAAAATTAATCAGCCAAAGCTTTCACTCCTGAAATCAGGGTTTCAGTCGTTTATTCCCAAAAGATTTTGCACACTTCATTACTTCCAGTTTATATGTGGAATCACTATATTAATTTTCACATCGGTTGTTCTCATATTTGAGTCTCTTCTATTTTGGAGAAACATCATCAAATATCAGATAAAACCGAGCTAAGAGATTAAAGTTATATAAACCTCAGCAAGTTCCTTGGACAAGTTTTGTAGCAGGGGTAGTTAGTGCACTCACTGAAGTATAGAATTCTGCAAAATATTTCTGGATTCAGCTATCGATCTTTCCAATAGAAATTAAGAGATTTCATCCCTGTGTTGCTGGGAGAAGAGTTAGTTTTCATTCAGCAATGTTGCCTCCATTACCATGGGCTTTCCTCAGGTGTGTGTTCAAGTACTTGCCAGAGTTGCAGTGGTGCTGAGTTGGACAGGTACAGAACTGAATAAGGTTCACGAACTCGAGACACTGAGTAGTGTTGAAATCTGATGCACGTAAGCAGCTGGCTCTCAAGAGCTGTGATTTTATTCTGAGCAGAAACCCTGCAGTTCAACAGTGCATAAACTGCACTGAGGGAGATGAGGCAAGCAGCAAGAGCAGGAGAGTGCCCGGCTCTTGCAGACGCTTCCCAGCAGCACTGAGATGTTCTGGATACAGAAGCACCTCTCTGCAAATTATGAATTACATGCTCTAAAATGCAGAGACATCAATGTTGAACCGTGAACACTTACATGGCTCCCTGGGAACACGTGCTTTCAAGGCAGTGATCTAGGAGAGCGGGGCTTCTGCCTGATAGTCACGCTGCACTGATTTCTGATGGATGGATTTGCTAAAGCATTTGGCTGTGCTGTTGTGTTATGCTGGCCTATAGACACACAGTGCAATTCTGTGGCTTTTAAATGAGATGCCGGTGTAATTATGGTGATGAGAAGAGGGAACATGTGAATTGATGAAAAGGATCAGGAAGTCTGCACACAGAACTGAAATTTGAAGGCACGCTTGATATGAACTTAGTAACTGTAAAAATGTAAGGTGTGTTTCTAAAAGCAAGGGGAAATCAGAAAAGTGAGCAGGCTTTCAAAATCTCCTCAAGTCTGATACAGTCTGATACAGGCCTAGTTTTCTAACCAGCATCCCACATGGTGAACTGCAACTGTGTCCAGTTTTCAGGGCACACAAACTGTTCCACAGTGATTGTGTTTAGATCCACATGTCTTTTCAACGCTTTCATAAGGTTGTTCAAGAACAAAAAAATTGCACATTCATTCAGCCCCTGTTGACACCCTCCCTCTCAAGGCTTCCTTTTACACTGTCTTTTCAAATAGGGGGTTTGTTTGGAGACTGTGTGCTCTGTAAAAGAAAAGACCAATAATTAGTAACGTTGTGATTGGTTTTGTGTTTGGCATAGCTGAATACTTACTCCTGGATCTCCCAAGGGACCAAAGGTTTTCAGTGGAATCTCTGTGTCCTGGTATCAGCAAGGATCAGAGCCCGGCTGCTGCAGTCCAAATGACAAAGGGGATGTAGCCTTGAAGTGCAAGCAGCAGTAAAGGAGTAGCAAGAATAAAGTGTGAGATTTTGTAAAGATTTCTGCCACAGTTCAAAGTCAGTTCCTTTTCTTCCCCTGTGCTAATAGTCTGAAATTTTGGAGCAATTGATGTTTCCCAATTCGGCTTCTGCAGGCAATTCATTTTGCATGTTTGACATTTAAGATGTGAAGAGCCTCTAACGTGAAGATTTAAATGAGGATGGTTATTTTGACACGCTGTGTCCATCACGTCATTTTCCATTTGTGTTCCTGAGAACACTGCCCAAAAATGTCCTTATCATCTGGCAACAAACTGTGTAACAAAGGATACTTTTTCAGAGAGTTTCTAACGAATTTGGCTATGCACTGAAACAGGCTGGATTTTTTTCTGCATACAAAAGATAATGCTGCATTTTGGAACAGCTAGGAAGGTGCCTTCTCTTCAGAGCTCTGGCTCCTCTTCCCTCATCTGCCGTGATTTTGATGGACTGCTCTGTTTGATTTCATGATCAGCAGCCACCAACACTGGAGTCATTAATCAGCCTCCCTCAACCAAGCACTGCACAGCTTTCTGCTTTATCTTCCTTCTGCAGCAGTGGTGCATTTCATTGTTGCATATGTTCTCACTTACTGCTCTAATATGGCATAGCTTGGTACTGCATGCAGTGAGTGTGTGTGCACTGAGTCAGCCATTCCAGAGAGCATGTGTGTCTCACACATGGATGCAAACGAGCACCTGACATGCCCACAGGATGCCTGCTTTGGCTGGAGCCTGCGTGCCCTTCTCACATGCAGTCAGGCCTTGTGCTGGTCCACCACACTGATGGTGATGCAGCCACCTTTACGTGTCCGATGGGCATCCTGCCTGTTCCATAAACTCTACTACTGCAGGGCTCCAGAATGTTATTCTGCATCCTTACTGCCCTGCCATTCCTAGCCAAGCTTTTTGGGTCGCTTTATTTCCCATTGCTGTTTCTCTCCAAAGGAATTAGCATACCTTCCTTTCATTATGCTTGACAGTTTTTTTCCTGCAGCTCCTGAACAGCAGATCTATCCTCGAGTTCTGTTCCTATGGCCTGGTGTGACTCTTCTATTGCAGAAGGCATGATCTGTAAGAAAAACTAAATGCTTATGCAGGCTCCCTAACCTATCTGCCAGGTCAGGGTTGAGGTGCTGCTTAGGAGCCTGAATTTCTGGCCAGTGCACCCTGACTCTGGTAGCCATCCCACAGCAGCACTGCTCGTGGCCACATAGTGCCCCTGCTCTGGTAGCAGCATGCTGTGTCTTTCAGCAGTGCAAGATCATGCTATTCTATGTTGTATTTTAAGATTTTAGCTGCAAAAGCCATTTTAGTATGTTAACTTTTTACTCCTGCTGTTGATTAAATTTAAAGCTGATCTTCAGTTCTGTGAAAGAATATTCCACCAATCAATTAATTAATTCTCTCAACACCTTTTGAGGTGTTGCTAATCAGTAATACACATCCAATTGCTGTTCTGTTCTGACACTTTCCTTCTAAAAATGCCACTGTTTTACTGTGAAGTCTTTATCTTAAGGAAGAAGGTCCTTTTATAGGAAGCGTCTGCAATGCAAGTTTATTCTACTTTGCAGCCACGATGTGCAGAGGGCAGGCACCTTCTTGTTTGTCAACCCTTGGGTGGTGAGCAGTGCTTAGGATGTCCTAACACGGTTTTGCTCATATATCTAGTGCTAACTTTCCAGCAGAGTGCCTGATGCACTGTATTGAAAGCAGTAGGTATACTGGGGTTTGTTAGGTGTGAGAGCAACCTGGTGCTTACAGCCAGGCAAAGGTCTCATGGTTTATGAGGGGCAGGTTTGTTAAAGGTGTTTGCAATATGGCAGTTATGCTGCAGTCCAGTATAAAATAAAGCTCTAAGTGCGTTTATAAATGAATGTTAGGCTTTTAGGCTGCTAAGGCAGACCTGAAACTTTTACCCAGTATTATCTGTGCTTTGCAGATAGAGAAACAGGGGCAGGGGAAGGTGATCCACTGAAGATCAAATGAATGACAGAGATGAGAGCAGAGTTGAGGTCTCCTGAGTCCCAGCACCGTTACCAGCTCACTGGGCTGTGCAATCGCATTACACTTAGTTTACAGTTGGATCAGTCAAAACACAGGAAAGTTAAGGGCCTGGGCTTGATGAGAACTAAATGTCTGAAACTCTGGTTGAACCTGATAGAAGTCTTGGCATGCACTGTTCAGAAAGCTCAGCAGTTCAGCTCCTGGGCAGTTTCTTCCATTGCATCAGGATGTGGCTGGGGCAAAGCCTCAGGCTTATCATTTCCAGCCATCCCTGCACCGATCACTGTCCTGTTCAGCTTCCAGGGTTGCAGCCGAGCAGATGTGCAGATGTGCAGTGGCTATCGGAAGCCAAATTCAAGTGGAGATACATTGGCAGTGGAAATTTTTTAACTGGTGTCTCTGATGAGCAGGATGTCATTTCTTCTGCCATTGCACAGCCATTGTTGCTCATTCCTGAAAACATTTTTTTTCAGAATATGCCATGAGGGCTTGTGGAGTTTGCATTTGCATATATTGAATGAGAAAAAATAAAACATAGAAGAGAGGGAGGGAGTTGCAAAGGTAGTCCTCACTTTGTCTGTGAGTGATGATTATGTAGTTGCATCCAAAATATATTTCCCACCCCCATTCAATTAACAGGTTGGTATTTAAATGGACAGAGTTGGAAACTGCAAAAATCCATCTCACAGGGAGAGAGATTGCGGCACCTGAGAGCAGCCTGCAAAACCTACATGTTCTGCTCCTCATTAGGAGTTGAGGGAGAACATCTTCAGGGGAGCATCCTACTGCTTTAGGGAGCTGCCTCTGCAGGATTTTTTTAGGGAGCTAGAAAGGAAATGGATCCCAAATCCCAAATCCCAAACTAGTAGCTCCATTTTACAAAGCAGTGGTGCTCTAGCACTCACCCAGTGATGTCTGTTCTTAGCTTTATGTGCATAGAAGGCAAATGAAGATAGTGGCTAGTGCTGTTTCTCCCCATTCCCTTCCCTTTTTGTCCTTAAGAGATACCTAAACCCTCAAAAGCTTGTTTAGTTTCAGAGCTGTTGAGTTTTCTTTCTTTGGTCACGCAGTTCTTTTATTTCAGTTTCTAGACCTAATTATTCCTTGGATGCCTAAAAGTGATTTTTCTATGACAGAGTATCTCAGCTTTTGTTTAGGCAAGTCTGTCTTCAGACATGACTACTAGGAACTATAAACAAGAATACACGTTTTAGGAATTAATTTGTATCTGTAAGTTTCATCTCTCACAAAAATCCTGGTATGTAAGCATATACATTAAGAGAAGATGGATGTTCCACTCAGCCTCAGTTTCCTTTGACCTTTTGGAACAAATGGGTGCAGGAAGATGACTTCCCTAAGGCTGAAATTCCTCTGTTAGAGTTGATTCCAAGAGAACCAAACTTCATAGTGATTGATCCGTGGCTCTCGTCGCAGCCTTAATTTTAATATGTGAGTAAAGGGAGTCCTCATTTCTGAGAAAGTTTATGTTTTATTGTGCATTAATCTTCAAATGAATCATTATCTAGTTCTTGTTCACCACTATCTTGAGCAGCACTTCAGCTTCAGTGCATTGTGTCTATAAACCAAAGGAGAAATAGACCAATGTTTCACTTACTTGAAGAGAGTACTTAACCTCACATCCCACGTGTGTCTCATGGACAATTGGCCCAAGTGTGTCTGGCAGTGTGCTTGATTTTTGCATGGCTCTGATTCCACAAGTCACTGTCCATTGGAGGATGGAAGTACACGCTAGCAGATAAACTTTATTGACTTCAGGACTAAGCAATGTTTTGCGTGTGTAAATTTATTGTGAAATGGTTTCTGTAGTAGCTAAAAAATGACTTCATTTTTTTCTTTAATCCCTCTGTGCAGGACACCAGCCATGATTGGATGCTCATTTGTAGTAGACCGAGAGTATTTTGGTGAGATTGGCTTGCTTGACCCTGGCATGGAGGTTTATGGAGGAGAAAACATTGAATTAGGCATGAGGGTGAGTAAGAAAGAAGACACTTTGTGCAATGTTTATTTGCAAAGAAAAATGGGAGCCCGTGGCCCAACAGAATTGCTGCCTGACTGATAGGCTATTATGCTGAAGTAATTGTTACTGCAGTGCTATCTAGAACTGACATTCCCAGTAAATGGATGTTCCTGGCCTTACTGGCATTGCAACGACTGATAACAGTCAGAAATATGGTCCATTGGTTCGTTTTGTCAGTGTCTGAACTCAGTGAGACAGATTCGCTGCCTTTCCCGGTAGCTGGGCTTGTGATAAGAGCTGTGCTAAGTCTGTGTGTGCTCATTGTGCAGATGATGATATACGTATGTTGTCTTAGCAGATGCAGTGGTAACAGAAAACTGAGGCCAGGCTGAAAGAAATCAGCTGTAGTGTGCTATGTACTGCTCATAATGAAGGCAGTGGCATTTTAAAAAGTTAATGGTCTTCTTTATAGAGTAAGTATTACAGGGTACAGGTATCCAATCCTGCTGGCCTCAAAGGCTGTGAGAATAATGTTGGAGAAGTCACAGAGTACACATCTTGAGGAAGGCAACGTTGGCAAACATCAGCAATCTCAGAAGAATGTACAGAAATCAGTATACTTCTGTGTGCATCCATCTTCCCAACTGCCTCCACCCCTTTCAGCCCGGTGCACGAGGACTGCTGTGGAATCAGAACTGAGCACCTGGCTGTCTGCACTAGTTAGGATCTGGCTGAGCTCTGGGTGGGAGGGATTTGGGAAGATGTTCTTACATAAAATGACACTTCACAGATGCTGAAAAGGTACTGCAGGATGGAGGGATGAATTTTGCCTGGTTCTTACTACAGTGCAGAGCATGGACAGATGGCTTCTGCACAGCATCAGGCTTCTGAGCCTGTAAGAGGTTTGATAGTTGTGATCCTTTGCCCTTGTTTTCAAGGTGCTCCTTTCCAGCAAGTCCTTCTGAAGTCCAAGGAACCTGCCATTGCTTAGCACTTGAAAATTAGTCTACTTAATGTTGCATGAACACAGTTTCCTCATTATAAAGCTTGCTGTTTAATTATTTTCCCCTTACTCTTTATTCCCTATTTCACAGTAACACGTCCCTAGCGTGTGTAATGTGCTCATTAAAGCATATATTCTGCTCACACTGAAACACTGAGCATCAAATTAGTCCATCCTTTATCCAGCTCTTTTTTTCTGAAATGATTACAAACTCCTTCACACCAGTGGGCTGGGGGAGAAGGTCATCATCGCCAGCACTTGTTTCCACACATGGGTGTGTGTTTGTTATTCCAGCATCACACGAGGGATAGTTTTTAATGGCACCATGCAGCTACACTGCTTACACTTTAAGGTTCAGAATTCACACAGGGGACAGAAAAACTGCTACCACAAATCATCCAATTTTCCTTAAGAGGGTCAGGCTATTACCAGGATTGTGTGAGCTTTCCTTTATCATTGTGCAGGGCTTTCAGCTGTTTGAAACTTTTTCCACATGGCTGCTTCCAGAATAGATTGAACGCTCTGGCGAAACTCTGGTGTGGCTGATGAATAAGTCTCCTAAGAAATCTGAAAGCTGTCGCTCTTCCTTAGATGAGAAGAACTTGCTGGGTACGATTAGGGCTCCTGGTAAACAGAGGCAAAGGTTTTAATAGGATTATGAAATGGCACTTGCTTGAAAAGCCAAGGATTTGAGTCTGTGAGGGCGGATTTTCAGGGGAAGGGAACATGTTAAAGTTGTAAACACAGAGGATCTAGAAACAAGTTCTCAGTCTTTGTACTTCGGCACTTTTTGGTTGTGTTTTTGTCTGCCTGTGTGTTTTTGGTTGGCTTGTTTCTTTCTTTCTGTATAAGGAATAATGAACCTTACTCATATGTGTTTGAGAAGAGCTCTGTGAAGTTTAGTCTAAAATGAGCTTGTCCGTAACATGGACATTTATCTACATTCTCAGCCTGAATCTAGCACAGTGAGTAATGTGAGGTGTGCACCTGGTAACCCACAAGTCCTGCACTGATCCCCTCCTTTGTTCTCTCTGAGGTGTCAGAAACCAGCAGCATGAAAATGCACAGAGTCCTCCTCTCCTCCCTAAAGGATATTTATGAAATCACTGTGAATTTAGAAAGATTTTTTTTAACTGCAGAATCTCAAAGTAAGTTGCAAAACTCCTTCCTTTCCCAAGGCTGATCCACACAGGAGCTGCCACAGAGCGTGGCCAGCTGCAAACCAGGGCCTTGTTCCTTGTGAGTGTGACTGGGATCCTGCTGTGTCTCCCTGTATGCAGGGGAAACTCTGCCAACATGGTGCAGTACTGGAGGCTGCAAGCTGAGCAGGGAGCAGAGGCAGGCAGTCATCAGCCTGTCCACAGTGCACGAGGGATGTTGCTGCCCAGTGTGACTCTGACTGTGTGGAGCAATGAAAGACAGCAAAGGAAAGTGTAAATGGATGAGTAAAGAGCAAGAAATAATGGTGGTGGAACGTGTTCAGCTGAAAACAGGCCCTCTTTTAAAAAGCTGGAACACTAATCCTTTAAACTTCTTTGCATATTATCACCATGTTATTACTAAAGGAAAAGGGATTAGGCTCAAAGTGTCTGAATTAGATTACACTGCATCTAATGAACCTTCCTTTAAATAGTTTTCATAATGTGAACTAGGGAAAGGCAGTGCAACTAATGAGCTGATTTGGGAGGGTACTGTTTGATAACCCAGCTAATCCCCCTCAAATCTATTGTTTATTAAAAAAAATGATGATCTTGGGTATTCCACTACTGGCTTTTCCCTTTTCTAAATTCCGGAGATGGGAATAGTTAGATAATTAACCTAGGCAGTTTTCTGTGTTGACTAAGCAGTGTGTAAATGGTCTGGGGCTACCACATGTATTGGAAATTGGACCCAGTGCTTTGCAATTCTTTATTTAACTCATATTCATCTTTCTGCTTAAATCAGAGCTGCGACGTTCTCCTGACAGCTTTGCAATGAAGCCAATGTCTGCCAGGCTATGGAGGTTCTGCTTTGGTTGAGAAAAAGCAGCAGCCATTCTGGGAAACAGGAGGGAGTTGGTGTTGGTGCTGGAGTAGGAGCTGGACTTGATGATCCTTATGGGTTCCTTCCAACTTGAGAAATTCTGATTCTATGGGGAATTCTTCTCAGTGCTATCTCAAAGATTTAAAAAATAGTTATAAAACCAAAAATGACTTGTCCAGTTGAGATTGATTTGTCCAGTTGAGACATCTTTAAGAAATTCCGTGTTTAAGAAGTCCTGGTCAGAGAAATCCATTGGAGGTATCCATAGGTACCAGTGTGACAACATAGTTCTGTAGCTGATAGTCCAGCAGGGCTCAGCTGGATCCTTAAGGTTAGTTGTGACCACAGCTTGTGCAGAGGTGTCACACGTGGCTTGTGCCACTTTGGGCAACTGGTAGCAGCGTGCCTTTGGGAACACACAGTACCTTGGGATTGAGAAGAATGCCTGAAAAGAGAATAAAAGTTCAGATTATTTGCTCTCTCTGCTGTTGTGATTTCATGGTTAGCAGTGCTCAAGCAGCCTAGCTGAAGGCAGACCTGTTGTGTACAAAGAAATGCAGTCCCAACTCAGACCATGCAGAAATACTGTTTGTACTGCTCAACATCCTGATGCAGCTATACTGGAATTTCTCTACCAGGAAATAAAACCTGTTACCTAATGCACTTTCATGCACAAGCAAATCATACTTTCCCAATTTATGTGATCTGACCCAGCTTTGCTTTCCTTAAAAACAGATGAACTGTATTTTCTCTGAGCAGAAATGCTAATGGCAGGTTGTTGAGTAGTGAATTCCTGACCTGATTTTATTACTTTCAGCTAAGGAGATTTAGATTCCTTTGAGCAGTCAGTGTTTTAAACACAGATTCTGGGCTGGTATGCTGTAATAAAAATGTCACAAGATTTATGTATGGCAAATTTTAATTCTGAATTCTGGATGATGCTTTTTACCCCGGTGATTCATGAGGTCAGACTCCCTTTGCCCTGGAGCTAAGAAGCAGGAATGCCATTTTAGAGAGTTTTTCAGAATTTCATGCTATTTTTCCCACGTGCTGTGATGGAGTAGAAATGAAAATTGCACAAAAATACATGTTAATCAAAATGTTTATCTCAGTTAATAAAAAAGGCTTCATTTTTATTTTGACCTTTTCTGAGCTGCAATTTTTAGTATAAAGAAATTCCGGTTCGAATTTAATTACTTAAATGTCATCTAACATTTAAGTATTTTATTAACAATTCCTAGCTTCTGAAAATGCAGTTCACAGTGTCCTTACACATGCCTATTCACAGTGGATTGCAATAAATCAGCATTTTCAGCATGAAGTTAAATGCTATTAAAATGATTGTGCCCAGTTATGCACAGAACTCTGCATTGCCTGAGCAAAATCCTATTAAGTGATGTAATCTACTGCTAGTTGAAGTTACCCCTGTGCACAGGTTGCAGAGATTCTGTGATAAATCTCCCAGTCTCACCTCCCAGATAAGCCGTGTAAGTAAAGGTGCCCTCTTTTCCATCTCCAGTTTAATTTAGCATTTTTATAGGCATTTCCAAAGGTAAAAGAATGTTAAGGTTGTAAAGTCAAGCACTAAGAAATCATGAAAGGATTGAATTCACGGTGTCTGGATTACATTAATTTGCAACTCCTTTTCCTCTTTAAAGGAGGGATTGGAAAAATCTATTCTATGGTGATGTGCATATATGAGGAGCCAACTCCTCTGCCCGTCTAAATGTTCAGTATCTTTTAATTCCTGAGAAGCTACACTGATTCAAACAGGATGAGATTAGGCTTGACATTTGTATAATGCAATACTGCATTCTGTCTGGAAAAGGAGACAGACTTGGTTGTAAGTGGAGATGGAGATGCTCTTGCAGACATTTTATCCCAGGATGCTGAATCCCAGGGAGGCTGAAGCCACCACAAGTCACTGCCAAGCCATTAGAGATGGCCTTTGGCCCATAGCAAACATCTTGTGTCTTCCTTACCAGAA